TCCTGGCGCACGCTGCTGGCCATTGGGGGCTGGACGGGTTCTGACGCTGTTGTTTGTCATTTATCTTTTCGTGTCCTGGGTTGTGGATGTCGGTTTGGGGTCTAGTGCATGCATATGTATGTATTTAAGTTGTATGGCATGGTATGGTATGGTATGGTATGCATGCTATGGGATGGTGTGTATATATGTCTGTCTGTCTGTCTGTCTGTCCGTCCGTTTGTCTGTCTGTCTGTATGTATGATGTATGTATGTATGTATGTATGTATGTATGTATGTATGTATGTATGTATGTATGTATTCTGTCTGTCTGTCTGTCTGTCTGTCTGTCTGTCTGTCTGTATGTCTGTATGTATGTATGTATGTATGTATGTATGTATGTATGTATGTGTGTGTATATATATATATGGAAGTATGTGTATACACATATAATAGAAGTATGCTTTGATTGACAACATTTTAGGGTCCCTGCTTCTCTGACAAGAGATGTCCGAAAACCTTGCAATCTAACGGGAGCAGCTTGGCAGTGCAGACGAGGTCAATTTTGGGTGGAAGGGGGATTCTGAGTAGATATTGTACGCTTTGAACCCTAAACCCTAGACCCTACATGCTTTGTGAGCAGGACCGGCCTCCTCTACTTCTCCTCCGCCATCAACCCTCACCTCATGATGAGGGCGAGGCGCGCCTTTGACACAGCCCAAAGCCACAGTTTCCAAGCCCCAAAGACCCAAAAGAAACCCATGCCTCCTTTAGGTGTCGATGCTACAAGTTCCTCGAACCATGGATCCCGCCAGTTCACGAAATCCCACGATCGCTGTCGCGGATCAGTAAACTTGCAACTTCAAAAGTCAAAGACTCGATCCATCTTGATCCCAAAGCCTAAGCTTGGCAGCACATCCTGGCCCTGTAGCGGCCAGCCGCACCACTAGCACATGCCTGTGACAGAAGTGACTACTATCAGCTGGCTTGAGCATCTCACCGTTGTCGACATCGTCGTCGTCATCACCATCATGAGGGACAAGTCGGCATCAGCGCATCAGCCATGGAACTTTCTTCCACCGTCCTTACTGCTATCCTTCCCAAAGGGTCCTAGGTACTGTTATGGGGGATACTTTCCCAAATCATAATAACAATTCCTAATACAGAAACCCTACATTCTACTATATAGGTACTTTGGACCCCTTGGGTTTTTCATTGCCAGCAGCATGGCCTCCGATAGTCGGTTCATCAGCAATCAATCAGCCAACCCATCGACTAAACTACCCTTCAAACCCAAACCCCGAACCCTAACTCCTAAATCCTACACCCCTAAACCCAAAAAGCCGCCCTAAACCCTAATGCTAAACCCACCCTAAACCCTAAACCCTAAATCCTAAATCCTACACCCCTAAGCCCAAAACACAGCCCTATACCCTAAACCCTAAACCCCAAACCCAAAACACCGCTAAACATCCCAAAGCCCTGAAAAGGAACCAGGCGAAGGAGGCCGTCTTCTTGTCCCAAGACGAGGCGAAGAAGCTCCTTCCAGGCAGGCACGGGGATAGCAGGGCCCATGAGTTTTACTTGTTTTAAAGGGTTTAGGGTTTAGGGTTTAGGGGCTTGAGGTTTTGGGTTTTGGGGTTTAGGGTTTTGGGGTGTAGGGTGTTCCAAGTCAGATTTGATATCCTGTTCATAATATGGCTACTGATTCGTTTAAGATTTCCAAATTAATTGGGTGAGAACCCTTAGTTCATGGGTGGGAATCAATACTTATCATGTTTAGTTTTGTTTGTAGTAGTTCATTTCATTAGAAGTCTACAAAAACAGTGAAAGAGATTTAGAGCTTAGGGTTTGGGGTACATGGGCAAAGACGTGAGTCGGACTAACTAGTGATGGTATTCCCAGATTGTTTTTAGAAGATAACGGCATGCATTTTCCAACAAAGCGGTCCAAAGTACCCGATTCGAAGGTACTCCTGTTTGGTGTAGCACCTTGTGCCTGAAAAACTGGTTTAGGGTTTAGGGTTTAGGGGACACATGCAAGTGGCACTTCGAAGCCGTTCGTTTGTGCTGTTTTCCCGGGACTCAGTGTCATTAGATGGTTGCCTTTGTCGGTGCGGAGTTGTAGTACTGCAAGTGTGTGTATATATATAGAGGTACAGCTGTCACTATATCATTGTCAGTATGCATATATATATATACACATGATTGTTGTCAGTACATACCTCTATATATATATGCACACACACATTATTATTGCTGCTGTTGCTGTAGTGTAGTTGTGCCCTTCGGTTTCCTGTAGAGCCCCTGTAGCAGCTACAATGCCAGAGTCTGCCAAAGCCTGCGAAAACCCTGCACTCTACGATCCCGGCTCTGAATCGCACAAACCTACTGACTATGCTCCATAGTAGTTCCTTTTGGGGATTACCTTATAGGATCCTAAATATAAACCACAAAAAGGAACTACCATGGAGCCTATGGGTACTGACTATGCTCAATGATGACATGGAGAGGGGGTTGAGGTGTTTAGAGATGGCAGTTGTCGGAACATGTTGGAACGGTATTTCAGCGCAGACCACACGCTCTGTGCCTACAGCCTATCTCTCGCTGTTGAGATTCTATGCTGATATAAACGAGAATCTGAATCTGAGCAACGCCGTGTGCAGGGCATGGCCGACCCTTCAATGTAGTTCTTTGTAATGCTTGTGGAGCCTTTATGCTAGGAAAGTTGCTAGACTACGCGGAAAACGATGCAGCCTTAAAGCCCCACAGTAAGCGTCCACATACTCGTATAGGAGGGTTGCGGCCCTAAGGTCAGCACGTATCCAGGCATACTTTGAACTGCCAAAGCATCCGTTGTTGTAGGTTTTTAGTACAAACCCTCATACAGAACAAATATATTAATTGCGACCCTCCAAAAGTCCAGCCTGTAGTGGGGCCCTTTTAGCACCCTCGTAAAACCCCTTTACAACAACCCTTACAGTACCCTTTGACGGGATTTTTGGCTGTGGGTTTAGGGCTTAGGGCCTTGGGATTGTAGCTGAATTCGATTGCTTTGATCTGTGCCTTGACTACCCATGGGCTCCATAGTAGTTCCTTTTTGGGATTACATTATAGGATCCTAAATACAAACCACAAAAAGGAACTGTCATGGAGCCTATGGGTAAACACCCTAAACCCTAAACCCTAAACCCCAAACCCCAAACCTTAACACACTCAAAACACACACAAAGACCGCGTTCTGCATGATTTAAACCAGCCCTGCGGGTCCCTGAAGCCCAAGAGAAGCCCTGCGCAATCCCATGAAGCCGCATCAACTGGGTTCTTGTTAGGGGATTTTGTTTAAGCTACCATAATGGGGATCTGTAGGAAATATTATGGTTTCTTCATTAAGGTAACTTAAATTAAATCCCCTAACATGAACCCAGTCAAAATCCCGAAGGATCCCGAAATATGAGCGTGGCAGACCATGGGTTGGTAGACAGGTGGACTTGAGGAGCCGTGCATCATCATTGAGCGTGATGGCAAGGCCGTGGCTTATCCCGACACCCAGGCGCTGTGGCCTCACCTGGGCTCTTTGAAACAGCGGCTTTAATGGAGATTTGATGCCTTATGCATTCAGGGCTCCTTACTTTGAGGGTGCGGCTGTTACGATTCCTTCTGGGAGCTCGACATTTTTTGAATTCTCCCACACCGTCTCCTGAGAAGAACAGGCCCAATTCCAAGTAGAAGCAATCGAGCTTCAGTCTCGATTGCAAGGCCTTCGCAGTACTCCATGTGGGAGTCAGGATCATATTGCAATGTGAAGCCCAAAAAGACAAATTACTCAAAGAACATAATTATGACTAACATTCGCCACGAAGGACATACGATTGGAGCTGGAGTCTATGTGCGAGTACTTGGACCCTTCATGACACTGATATTGAGCTTGAACTTGCCGAAAAACACAGAGAGTTCCGATCTACTGCCATACGGGAATAAAACTCTGACCCTGCCGTCATCATACGGTTGATGAAAAAAATCCTGCATTACCCATGATAAGGAATATACCATAATTCCTATAGTTTGGGGTCCTTGAGGTAATGCAGGATTTATATCATCAACCATAGGACTGCAGGGATGGTCTTCGGGGCCGCGATTCGATCATGGTAGTACAGACGGACCCTGCTTGCAAACCCTACCTGGACCCGAAGAAACCTACCTTACTAGGGGTCCTGATTATGACGGTAAGTCCATAGAAAGGTAAGCTATCTAGGTTAAGGTACAGCGTGCAAGGTGCTGCGCCCTCACGTCGCAAGTGGGGGTGACCTCGGTGATGATGTTGTGCTAACATACTGCGGCCTGTCCAACCTCGGCATCGCTTCGAGGCTTCCAATTAGAGCCTCTGCCCTTCTTTTTTCCGAGGCTCCCTGTTCAGGAACACTTTTGCAACCCTAAACCAAAACAGTTAGCAATGGTTGTTCCTATGATTGTTGTCATATATCTAGACAGCTGCTGTGCTTGTTATCATCGTTGTTCTTCTATCAATGCTAGTTTTTATCATGCAGTCATACGGACCCTTAGGGGGGAGGGGGGTATGGGCCTTACAATACCGGCAACAAGGACCTCATAAGGTCTATTTAAGAAAGTATAGTCCCCTACTCTCCTCCCCCTTACCCCCCTAGACCCTAAGCCCTCAAGCCTAAGCCCTGAAAACCTAAACCCTAAGCCCTGAAACTCTCAACCTTAAACCTCAGTAAGTCCTAAGGGTCCCTATGTTTCAGCAGAGAGAACCAAGGCTTGCTTTCAGGTGGGTAGTTACCTTTATAGGAGCCTTATAGAAGGTCTATATATCTTATAGAAGCCTCATAGAAGCCCCAAATGCCCTAAACTCCCCACCTGTAGTTTCCTTTAACCTAAACCCTAAACCCTAATCCCCAATAAACCCTAAACCCCTAAACCCTAAACTCCCCACCTGTAGTTTCCTTTGAGAGAACCAAGGCTTACACCCCCGAGTTGGCTGGCAAGCACCTGGATCTCCATCCGATGACGCAGCTGGAGAACAATTTGGTCATGTACGAGCCTGGGTGTAGGGTTTAGGGTTTAGGGGTTTAGGGTTTAGGGTTTAGGGTTTAGTTATTGTTATTTGTTTGGGATTCGCTAGGCTTTAAAAGGGGGGCCTTTGGGCTTTACAGTAAACCTCCCAAAAGTTGGAAACCGGATTTAGGAGTATTAGTGCTGGGATTCCCTATACATTACTCTCTGAGGGATTGAGGCTATTGGGTTTCCAACTTATGGGCTTCTACTTTAAGGGTTAGGGGGTTGTACGAGAATGGGCTAGTTGGGGGGATTCTATAGGGGTTTAGGGCTTCAAGGGTTTAGGGCCTAAGTGTTAGGGTTTAAGAGGCTTTTAGGATTTAAAAGCGGGGGTTAGGGCTGTACGGGTTTTTTGGGTTTAGGGTTTATTTGGCATGTAGGATGTAAGATTCAGGGAGTAGGGTATCATGCGAAGCTGCTCCCATATAACAAAAGGAAAAAGGCCACGGTCTCTTTGGCAAGCTTCTCTTAAAGTTATGTCCTCGGGGTCTGCTGAGGATAAGAACAGCATGGAGCCGGTGCAGCAGCTGTGGGGCACCACCGAAAACCGGATGGAGTGCCAATGTGGGCTTGAAAAGGCGATGTTTGGGGTTTAGGGTTTAGGGAGGGTTTAGGGTTTAGGGTTGAAAAAAGGCGGGGTTTAGGGTTTACTTGCATTCCGGTACCTCTTCTCAGGGAATCTAGCTTCAGACATTGAGAGTACCAGGGCGTTTGCCCAAAATGCTAAATCCAAATGGCTCCTTAACCCAAAACCCCCCCCAATTCACTTCTACCTTAACCCTATATCCCTAAACCCTATATAAATCCTTTAAGTTTCTTTTCGCAGCCCCCGGAAACGCCCGGAATTCCCTGAGCTAGTTAGGGCGACAGGTTTTGGGCCGGTAATTTAAAAAACAACTGCATGAAGAATACGGTTGATGCTAGAAATCCCTGCATTACCTTAAGGACCCTAAACTATAGGAATTCTGGGTATATTCCTTATTATGGATATCATCAACCGTAGTTTGAGAGATTTTCCTCGGCTCTGGGCCGCCATCGCGAAGGGATGCAGAGTTGATGTCGAGTCAGTTGCTTTGCTGGGGTTTAGGGGTTTAGGGGTTTAGGGATGTGTAGGGTTTAGGGTTTTAGGGTTTAGGATTTTAGGGTTTAGGGATGTGTGGGGTCTAGGGGTTTAGGAGTTTAGGGTTTAGGGGTTTAGGGTTTTAGGGTTCGACACCTGAAGCCCTAGAAGCCGCTGCTTGGCCCTAGGAACTAGAAGAGTCGAAGCCCCGAACGTGAACTACCCACGGCTGCATGGGAAGTTCTTTAAACCCTTACCCTCAAAGGACTCAGGTTTTAAGGCTTCTGGGGCCCAAAGACCCCATGATATAAGGCTTTTGGGCTATTTTGAGGCTAAGGGTAGAAGCTAGCGTCCCCGGAAGAGGCGGCGTTGCTTTTTTTTGGAGGAGGTTCGATGAGGGTTGTAGGTTGTAGTTGAGAGACTTGGGCATCCGGGATCCCTCTGGAGGTGGAGCGGATGAAGGAGTGGCCTACGTATCGGCTCACGCTGAAAGACTTCTGCAAAGCATGGCCGGGGGCGAAGGTCTTTGTGAACGATTACTCCACCAAAGGTCTCAAGCCGACCTTCTCCGAAAACCCTGTGGTATACCTCTATGACCTGATGATGGACACGATCTTCGCCCAATCCATCATCTACCAGAAGACCAACGAGTCTTGGTCCCCAACCAGTGGCCTTTTCCTTTTTGTTGTTTTCTGTTTTGTTTGGGGGCGTGTTCTTGGCAAAAACTCGTAGAGATTGAATGATAGGGGAAACCCATAGCCTCAAACCCTTCGGAAGGCTTCAAAAGAAAAACCGATACTACCCATAACCTCAAACCCTTCGAAAGGCAAAGCCCTGAACCTAAACCAGTTTCGTTATCAAGGCAGCACTGCGCCACTAAGGAGAAGCCAGTGTTTCCCACTCTGAAGCACGTCGACAGCAGGCTTCCCAGCAAGGAACCTCTGTCTCACAAGTAGCTCTGCTTTAGTCTTTATAGGGATTTAGGGCCGGTTTGGGTTCAGGTGTGTTTTTTTTGGATATCGTATATCGTTTCCTTATGCGGCCGGGGGGGGGGGGGGGGA